TTTCCTCAGTCTTGTAGATTTTCGAATGATGGGTGCAAGGATTTCAGGAATTGGTTCTGTAACTTGTACTAGTTCATGTGGAGCATCATTAGTGGCATTCGGTTCTTCCATATTGACTGTAGTATCATCAATGGCATCATTTTGCACAACATTCTCAGTATTCTCAGTAACTGGTGGTAAGAGATGACTGTGGCTTGTGTTTGGAGTCTGCACCCCAGTGTCTTCTACATTTTCTTGTAAATTAGATTCATCTTGTTCTTCAAAAACCAAGTTGTGATTTAAGATTCCCTCTGTTATCTCTTCTATGAACTTCACTTTATTTGTCTCAATGAAACGCATAGAATTTCCAGGACAATAAAATCTATATCCCTTGGTTCTCGGTGGATAACCAATGAAATAGCAACTTACAGTTTTGGGATCTAACTTCTTTTCCTGAGGATTATATGCTCTTGCTTCTGCTTTACATCCCCATATTCTCAAATGTAACAAGCTAGGCTTTCTGTTGTTCCAAATTTCGAAAGGTGTTGAAGTGACAGATTTGCTCGGTGCCCTATTGCAGATATAATTTGCAGTTTTAATTGCATCACCCCAAAGAAACATTGGCAAGTTGGTAATGCTCATCATGCTTCTTACCATATCCTTCAAGGTACGATTCTTTCTTTCAGAGACACCATTCTGTTGTGGTGTTCCAGGATTTGTATATTGAGCTACAATTCCTTCACTTTGCAGATAAAGTGCAAAAGGCCCTGGATTTCTTCCATGTTCAGTGTATCTCCCATAATATTCACCGCCTCTGTCAGACCTCACAGTTTTGATTTTCTTATCCAACTGTTTTTCAACTTCAGCCTTGTAAATTTGAAAAGCATTCAAAGCACTGGATTTCTCAGTAAGCAAATATAAGTAACAATATCTTGAATGGTCATCTATGAATGTTATGAAGTACCTATAGCCATCATAAGTAGGCGTGGGGAAAGGCCCACATATGTCAGTGTGTATGAGTTCTAGTAATCCATTACTTCTGATTGCATCTTTCTTGTGTGAACTCACCATTTTTCCTTTAATGCATTCAATACATGTAACCGGATTGTCAAACACAAGTGGTGGAAGTATGCCACTTTTACTTAGGTTCTTTATTCTCTCAATTGAAATATGCCCTAATCTTTTGTGCCAAAGAGTGGATGAAGTCTCATCTTGATTCAATCTCTTCTGTCCAATTAAATGTGCTACTCGACATGATTCCTTGCAATTTAGTTGAAACATCCCACCAATATGCAAACCATTCCCAATAATCTGAGAGTTTTTGTGAATTGAAAAGCCACTGTTATTTATTGAAAATACAAAATTTTTCTTAACTAGCTGACTAACTGATACTAAATTCCTTCGAATTGAAGGTACATAGCACACATTCTCAAGGTCTAATGTAAAACCAGACTCTAACTTTATTCTAACTGTTCCAATAAACTCAACAGCAGCTCTTCCTCCATTCCCAACGATCACTGAGACTTCATCCTTTCTTGGCACTCTCTTGCTTGTGTAGCCCTGTAAAGAGTTTGTCACATGTATTGAAGCACCACTGTCAAGCCACCAAGAATCTCTAGCATATTCAACATTATTTGCTTCAAAACAAACCAAAACTTCACCTTTGAAAATCATAACATTACCTTTTCCCTTGCCACTGTCAATCCACTTTTTATACTTCTGGCAGTGTCTTTTCATGTGCCCAGGTTTCTTGCAGAAAAAACACTTTCCCTTAGCTTTGAACCCTTTATTCGCACTAACTTTGAAGTGATCTTTGTTGTGCTCCTGTCTTGCAGTGCTATTGATACGATAATCAGTCACCATATTCACCCTTTTTTCAAAATTTTCCTGCCTTATATGTTGCTCCTCATGCACACAGATTGCAATCAATTCATTTAGACTCCACTTTTCCTTATGTGCATTGTATGTGCTTTTTAACTGTGAATATTCTTTTGGCAGTGAATTAAGTGCCACATGAACTAAGAAAGGGTCACTCATAGGGACTTTGAGAGCATTCAATTTAGTACCAATATCTAGTAGTTCTAATATATGTTCTCTAACACATCCCATACCATTATACTTTTTGGTCATAAGTTCGTTCATGAGATTACCAGTTTCTGCCTTATCTGATTCTTTGAACTTCTCATCAATGGATGCCAAGAATTCCTTAGCACTCTCAGACTCAGGAATACCACCTCTTACTGTGTCGGACATGGATCTCTTGATCACCAAGAGAGCAATTCGATTAGCCTTATGCCACTTCTCATATCTTGCCTTGACATTTGTTGTATCATCTGTTGCAGGTTCTGGAGGAGGATTCTCTCTCGTTGCTATGTCCAAATCCATTAACCCCAGGCAGATCTCAAGGTCTTGTTTCCATTTTTTGTAGTTTGTCCCACTTAGGGTTTGAACCGTGTTCACAGCATTCATCACTGAATATATACATAACATGCATGCATTGATTAAACCAATCCCAAAAACTTTATAAAAACGAAATTGATCCAACACTTGTGAGCAAGATGAATCAATATGTCTTCTAACACTGATTTATGTGTTATACCAGTCACCTTCATGCTGATTCCCAACACTTGTGAGCAAGATGAGAACCTTCACTACTGATATAGCCCATAAATCATGTCATACCATTCATATATGATCCAGAAACAATGATCAACACTTGTGAGCAAGAAGAACAGTCTCTATATCATATATTGAATGCAATTTTATGAACAACAACTTTACTACATGATTCAATCTCTCATGATAAACGGCTGTAGCTTGAATATATGATTAACTGAATTATGTAGATGTTGTCCATATCAACCTTATAAGTACCGAAGTACTAATGATCATGCAGATCAGTTAAAATTGACATGAATTAAAAACTATGCAAGATCTTAACACTGAATGTTTTCGACAATCATCAAATATGGTTATAAATTTATACATGCAGATTGATCAATCGAAAACATATGAGGTATTGATTCTTTATTGGTTTTAACCATACAAACAATGGCTCTGATACCAATTGTTATCCATATTGTTTATATGATCAAAACACAACATATACAATTAGATATAAAATTTATATGAAGCACTTACTTGATGAAGATGCAGCAGCCATGTGGACTATGCGTGGCTAGTAAACACCAAGTCTGATGCAGTTGTTGTGATCGAACAGTACACCGATTCTTCTGCAAACTCCTAGCTTTATGACAATGCTCTATGGGAAGCTTTAGTTGTCGTGTCTAGGGTTGGCAGGGACCGGTGCTTATATACTAGCCAAAAGTCTTAGATTCCATCCATAAGGGAAAGCTAAGAACTCTCCTTACTTGGCTCTTAAGTAAATTATCATAATCATATATTATTATTATTAAGGAATCAATCAAAACCTACTTATATTGTAAGACACTTAATGTAGGGTTGATATAAGGAAAGTAAATCGCAACTCAACTGATCTCCAACTTATACATTCCTATTACATATAGTAGACCATTTATGGTTGATTTATATTGAATAAATCCAACAACTAGCAGAGCATAACACAGACAACTCGCAGACAATCAACGATATCCAACACAACTTATAATGTGAAAATTCAGACAAGTTACTTTTGTATTTTTCATCTCCAGAATAAGATTATAATGTGTACAATCTACCGAAGGCAGTTCCCAGGCGAACAAACTCAAGAACCATCTACAGTTGAAGGCACCACAACCACAGAGTGCAGCGCCCGTCATCATCAAGCTGCTTTCAGATACGTTAACAGGATATGCATTTCCTACGTTAAGTTTAGAACTTGCTGCTTGAAAGGTTTTCGCTGTTCTTGGCTGTTTCAATCTTTCTTTTTCGGTCAAGCCAACAAACTACCTTTCATAACCTTACTTCCCTGGCTTTCTGCTTAGGATTTCTCTTCCTTATCTTTCTTTTTCGGTCAAGCCAACAAAGTACCTTTCATAACCTTACTTCCCTGGCTTTCTGCTTAGGATTTCTCTTCCTTAGACTTCACATTAAACCGAAAAACAAAGCAGTAGTTTTTGCACAGTTTGCTCAGCTTTGGATCCGATACTGCACTAGATATGATCTTGCATCCGGGCCCTCACTAGCTCTTCGCTTGGCTATGCAAACAACATGCTCGAGGGAGATTAGTGTACATAACCAAAGGAGGTACTAGCAATGAGCAGTGCTGCATTGTTGGGTACAAATAAAACACCAGTTACAATAATGAGCGAAAAGCTAGATGCTACCAATGAGCAGAGCTGCATTGTTACACCTGGACCTCTACTTTTCCTTCTATCAATGACCAAAGCTGCATTGTTACACCTGGACCTCTACTTTTCCTTGATAGACACTCCCTAATTGAGGTACTTTGTCTATACACTTGGAGTTTCCATCAAAATAGGCCAAAGGGGGAACTGGACAAATTCAACTGCACAGCTCCTAGCTAGTTACTTACCCTGAAATCTAACTCTTCCACATTCCACTTATTTTCCTCCAAAGTACAAAGAATGTACACACACACACACATACTGCACGGAGTTGCAGGTTTTTTCATTCCTTCATTGCCACAATAGATTAGATTGAACCCCAATAAAGCAACATATGTGTACATTCTATCGAATGCAGTTCCCATACGAACAAAGTCAAAAACATGAATCTTAAGTTGAAAGCACCACAATCAGGTCAAATCTCAAGTTAATTTCAAATACAACAACAACAACAAAGCCTTTTCCCACTAAGTTAATTTCAAATAAAAAAGTAAATATATAACTAAAGTAGCTAGCTAGACAGTGGAACACTAAGACAAAAAAATAATTAACAAATGAATTCATTTCTAGAAAAATATAAAACAGTACTTAAGTTCACAAACTTACAATGCTGAGCCCAAAAGTTAGCTCCTACCAATGGAAATGAACAGCGCTGCTTCTACGATACTACCACCATCATACATCCTGGACTTCAACTCTTTTGACCTACCACCATCAATCATCCTGGACTTCAACTCTTCCTTGACACACACTCAATAATTGAGGTACTTCATTTATATATCTGGCAACAAACCTCTCCAAGAAGCACTTTTCCACAGGCTCCAACAAAGAACTCAAATTCACATTTTCAATCCCCTTTATCAATCCCTTCAACAACAAAACTTTAGCAACCGAACACCTTGGTACCAATCTCTTCTCCAAACTGTAATGGAGAACCAGTGGCCGTTTTGCAATCATTTTCGAAGACCACCCCATCTCGTTCACCAAAAAATCCATTGCTAGCATTAGTTTCTTCTCCGACATAGTCATACAGCGCGGGTGCCTCCTGAAAGCAGAGAGAACATCATCCTCAGACCAACCCCACCTCTTATAAAGTTGGCAACTTCGATTCCATACAGACCTATTGTTACCACACAATGCGTATATCGCGAGTACCGAATTTGATTTTTGCAGATTAAAACCCATTTGCTTAACCTCATCCACAAGTCCACCAAGCTCTTTAGGCTTTCGCATAAAAACCTCGGGGTGATAAGCAAGCAAATGAGAAATGCAGGATTGGGGTATACCTGATTTTTTCAAAACCTCAATATTTGGCGCCACCTTCTTGGAGTGGCCTTCAGCGAAAATCCAGGAGCCGCGCCTTAAAACGGAAATGACATTTTTCTGAGACAGCAGACTCCTAAGGAAATCATAAGTGGGTGCAATCCGTTTCTCCAAGCTCGTAGACAAAAGCTTCGGTCCATATGCCAGAGCTTTTGCAAGGTCCCCCTTTGAAACTCCCAGAGAAGCGAAAAACTCAAGCTTTGGCAGAAGGGTTTTCTCCGGATTGGAGTTAAGAACTGGACAGTGATTCCTGACGATACTGGAGATCTGGGTCTCAGAGAATCCATGGTTTCTGAGAAGGGACAAAACGGAGTTTGCTCTTTTGGGGGATCGCAACTCGACCCACTTAGACGCTGAAATCGCACCTTCTGGGGACAGCCCACATGAGTTTATGAGGTAATTGACTGTGAAATCGTGGTGGGTTTCTGAGCTCTCTGAGGTGAAGTGTCTGCAGAGTAGCAGATTTTGAAGAGGAAAATGTGAGGGTTTTACATCTCCAACGACAAATCGTTTAAATGTGGAAGCAACTACGCAGGAAGATGGAAAATAACACAATCTGAGGGTAACGACTTTCAATTTGGAAAGCAATACCATCGTTTCAGTCAATATTAGATGATCAATACCATCGTTTCAGTCTTCCGCTCGCTGGGTTTTTGGTTTTAGCATATTTCAATTTCATTTCTTTTCCTTTGGAGTTTAATAGAGATTAGCTTTTAGTAGACTCGGCACAATCTGACATGACACCAAAATGACATGAAAATAACAAGTTTCGGATCAACATGATAATTTATCGGGTTATTATCAAGTGACTCGTTAATAATGGGTATACACGAAGGTAACATGTGAGTAACCCGTTTCGACCCGTTAAGAAAAAATTTATTTTGATAATTTTAAAATTTAATTACTAAAAGATTTATTATAAAATACAATAACCATATTAATATATACAAGATATTCTATATTAAATATATAGTTTTGTATTATTATTCTATATAAGTTTAAAAAAAAAAGTTTTAGTCATTATTTATTTTTATTATGAGAGTTTCTTATTATCATTACCAAGATAAATTTTACTTAACATGTTGTTGTCCAAAATTAAAATAAACTAATATAGTATTTGTATAGGCAAGAACTAAGAAGACATACATACAATACAAGTATGAAAAATGTGAAAGAATATATAAACACTCGTGATTCATCATTATTCTTTCACGAGTAAATAATGGTTACACTTACATTATCGTTTAGATTTTTAAATCCTCCAAACCTTCGTGAATAATATTTTTTATTTGAGGGAAAAATTAATAAAATTAATAATAATTATTGTATAAGTGTAAAAAATGTAAAAACAAAATATACAATCACTTATAGTGACAAACTTTACAATTTTCATGAAGGGGTCAACTTCGAAATCCAACACTATAATTCATAAACCTTAAATTTATATTTAACCGTTGATTGTCATTTGTGCTTTATTCTTCTTACTGAATTTCATTTTTTTAACTTTCTTTTTTGAAAACATGATCATCTGGCAGATGTACAAAGATGAACGATTCAGATCTTTGATATCACGTTTCGATATTTACGGTTAATTGAAATATGAGTCGATGTCATATAGTTTGTAGAAACTTTATAAACATCAAGCAATATTTTCACTAACTGTAAAACTCTAAATATAATATCAACGATCCAAACCGTTCATCTTCATGCATCCTCTAATAGATCAAGTTTTCAAAAAAGAAAATCTGAAAAAACAAAATTTGATGAGAACAATGAAGGGTAAATGTAAACAACAATCAATGGTTAAATTTTGATCTATGATTTATATGATTATAGTGGCGAATTTCAAAGTTAAGCTTTTCATGAAAGTTGTAAAGCTTGTCATTACAAACGTTTATATATATATATATATATATATATTTATATTTTTATATTTTTTTACACTTCTACATTAATTAAAAAAACTATTAAAGACTTTAGGTAAGTGAAAATATACTTAAAAGAAAATTGCGTTTTTATGTTTTGGATGTGATAATATGGTATGTGTATACTTATTTAGTATTATGTTTTTCATTTGATTATTTATTGGTTTAAAATATATTTTTCTTAACGGGTAACGGATTGGGTCATATTAGCTGTTAATATTATTGGGTTGGGTCATTTTACCCGTTTATTTTAACAGGTGTTACACGACACGATCCGTTAAGATATCAGGCATGACACAAAAACGACACGAACACAGAAAACATGACACAAATGCCATGTCTAGCTTTTAGGTGTGGAATTTATTTAATTATTATTTCTAACTATTTGTTATTATATATATATATATAATAATTGAAAAAAGTTGTGCTTATGTCTCTTTATGCGGGTACAATCTACACCGATTCATTTTTCTATAACAATTAACTATTTAGCCTACTAAAACTATTGTTCTACTAATAAAAAAGTTGGTCATGTATTGCATATGATTCATGACACGCCCGACCCTGATATCCTTCAAATACCAAGGCAGGCACGTGCTGGCAGACACCCGAAGGTGCCGAAGTCATATTAGAATGCATGAGAACTAGAAAGAAATAACTAACATAAATACAACTTGTAAATTTAACTATAATGAATATGCAATTGTGGAACGTGTTCAGAGTATACAACTAATCCGAGACATTAAAAAGAATAATATAAAATTGAATGAATAAAATGATGGGTCCTACACCGAGAGGACTCGAAGATGTCGATGTGGGAGTGCCTTGATGCCTAGATTGTACGCCTCGATTCTAAGTGCTGAGGGGGCGCAAAACAAAATATGAGTGGACCAAGTTTATATATAAGTAATACTAAAATAGTTATTGAACAACGTATCATCCCCAAAGTTTATAAAACTCAATAGCGTAGTATGTAATAGGTTTTCCGAAAACCCTATCATGCCATAAAACCTAATAAACAAATATCATATATAGTGTGCTTAATAGTAGTAGCACAAAGGTATATATATATATATATATATATATATATATATATATATCTTCATTTTCCCGAAGGCCCTACATCTCCCGCCTATAGGCAATATATAAATATCTTCTAACTGAAGCCATATATAAGTATATTTCAGCCGAAACCACTAACCTATGCCTGACCGAAGCCATTATAAATATCTACCGCCCGTAGGCACTACATCTCCTGCTCGAAGGCATATAGAACTCTTTCAACCGAAGCCACCTACACACACCCTGCCGAAGCGAAAATAAGTATCATTCATCCATAGGCAGTATCATTCACCCTTAAGCGGTTTCATTCACCCGTAGGCAGAACGTATGAGTAACCACTAAATAAGCACATAAAAACATTAACATAATATTTCTAATATATATATATATATATATATATATATATATATCTCCAACGGAGCTCAGTAGCTAAAATGTCATATCATAAATATGTTCAAAGTATATAATCATAAATCATATGTACTTCGAAGAACGTAAAGTTGATAAAGCATGATATAAACGTAACCCACAAATCATGCTTTTCATGTATGCATTTCTAATAGTAAAAATATGCATTTTAGAAGGGGTCCACTCACAGGTACTTTGCCGTCGAAAAGTCATGCAAACTAGAGAGGACATAAACTTCATAAACAATTGCACCTAAGCACAAAAAGGTACCAATTAATAAAACTCTATCATAACGATTGAATTTGAGGAAACGGATGTCAGAAACGGGTTCAAGACGTTGAAAAACATAAGGGGAAACCTCGGGTACATCCACACGCCGCTGCACACGCCGATTTAGATGGCTGGAAAGTTGGACGGAAAAGTTGCCAGTGCCACAGTGGTCGCCACCGTACACGGCGGCGAAGCATAGTACCTTTGGTGGAAACACGTGTGCTCCACACACCGGCTAAGGTAGACTCCCACGCGTGCCTATGCGCGAACCCATGCGCCAACTGGGTTCTCGGTTTGGGATTGTTCAGTTGGGTTGGGCCGAGGGTTTTGGGCTTGGGAAATTGGGTCTGGGCCTAGATTATGGGTTGGGTTCAGTAGGTTATAAATTAGGATTTAGGCTTGGTAGCCTAGCCCAAGGATCTGGGTTAGGCTGGAGGGTTTGGGCTTGGCCTAGTTGGCTGAAACTCTAGGTTGGGCCGGGTAGCTTGGCCCAAGGATTGGACCAGGTTAGTGTTTTCGAGTCGGGCTTGACCTGACTCTAGGCCGGGTTGGCCGTTTCGAGGAAGAAAAAGGTCGGAGCTATCCTAGCTCCGTTCAACCCCAAAACCTAACTAAAACCCATCATACAATATACCAAATTGAAGCCCAAGGAACAAGGAAGAGATTTGTACCAATTTCAAGACTTGAGGTGGCCAGAGTTAGCTGGAAAACGGTCTAAAACCCACGGGTTTTCGTCGGAATCTAGGGAAGTATCCCCGAGTCGGTTTCTCGATGTTTTAACATCCACAATACATTAAAAAAGATCAGAAATGAAATATAAGGATGAAAAAGGGAAGGTTTAATGTGTTTTTCGTAGCTCACCTATGTTGGAGGTGTTGGAAACGCACCGAGTTTCCTTCTTGAACAGTGGCATCTGCCACGATCGAGTTCCCAGGTTCTTTGTCCGGGGTTCATGGTGACAAGGTCTAAGTGTGAGGTAGGGGCCCCGCCAAGGATATTTTGATCTTCCCATGGCACCATCTCAATGCTTGTCGAGGGAAAAGGGAGAGAAGTGAGAATGATTGAGGGAGAGAGGTGAGATAGAGAACTTTACGGGGAGAGAAGAGAGAAGAGATAGAGAGAACTGTGAGGGAAGAAAGATGAGGGATTTGGGCTGAGGGACAAAATCAAGGGTGGGCCCCCTTGGGCACACCAATTAAGACCAAAAGCATAATTTCAAAAATAAACATCCCAAAAGCAACAAAACAAAATACCTTTCCTACATGAAATGACCAAATTACCCTTGTTCCAAAATCCATCAGGACGAGTTGTTACAATTCAAACCCAATTTCTCTTCTTGGAGTTATAATCCTATAAAATTGGAATCAAACTCAACTTTTCAGCCAATAGTGGATTGCTTAAGGATTTCATGATCGTCCACTGTTAGGCTTGATTTCAATGGTACAAATTAAATAACATGAAAAGCACATCCATTTCTTCACCTTTGATATCAAATCCAAAAGCGATGGCTCGTTCATTAACGCTTGAAACACAATTTTTCGTTTTGCAGATACAAAAACGTGTAAAAAAAATGTTTGACATACTGTTTTGTAAAAATTAACTCAAAACAATATTTAGCTTAAGTACTGTATAACATTAACTTGGTGTTTCCTCTGTCTTTTAAGAATTATTTTCAAAATAATAGAACGTAAAATATTCATTATAAACAATGTTAGAGTTTAATAAATAAATAAAATTATGTATGCCACCACTACCGCCACCACTACCACCACCACACAACCTTCTCCACCATCCCACAATCATCACCACCACCACGACCATCTTTGACACCACCATCATTGCCACCACCATATCCTCCACTGGCATCACCATGCCACACAACTCCACCGTCTCACCATCACCACAATCAACAATAACACCACCGTCTTG